AAATAGAAACAAGGAAAGTACACATGATTTGCTGAAACTGAAAAGGAAAATGCGGCCATTTTTAAAATTTTTTCACCTAAGCCCTTAGACTAACAGAAGGCCATTTTTCTGATAAATACAAAAACCTGTGTTACTAAGGAAATTATTTTCAAAAAAATATTAGAAATCTTTTTTTGACCACAAAGAAAACATACTCTACCTGTAAATCAATAAAAAAATAATTTTTACAATGTTTCATATAAAAATGTATCAGCTTTGACAAAAACTATCAGATTTTCCTAAGTGAAAGGGTTAACATAACTTCACATTAAAATTTAGTTATACAAAAATGATTTTCAGAAGGTGACTCAATTATTTCTATTCTGCTGGAAATCATCATGCTTATTACCTCTTGAAGAATTGTAGGTATACATTACTATTCAAAAGACCTTAATAAATGATAGCAGTTGTAGATTGCAGGCACAGACCAGAAGCTAGGTTGGGTCTCCCAACCAGTCTGGTGACCTCAGACAAGTCACCTTCCTCTGTTAGGTCCTGTTTCCTAATCTGTTTAATAAGCTGCTTCCCACTCCAACAGAATGAGGAGTTTGACTGAGTTTTAAGACTCCTTTCAGGCCTGAACCTATCTAAATAATTGTTTGACTTCTCCTGACTGCATATTTTACAGTTATAAAAGATTCCAGTAATTTCTTGGAAACTAATAGTAACTGAAGACGAGTTCTTGATAACAGACCCAGGGCTTTTACAAATGAATGACCAAAATGTGGATTACTCTTTATGGAGGAATGACCAAAATGTGGATTACTCTCTGACACCATCAGAACACTGAAAGATCTAGGTACATACATGTTTTTATGTATATGAATAGTGTCACAGGTTAAGACTGTACATATGGCTTATAACGGTGCTGTATCCTAGAGACACACATTATGGACACTTAGATATTAACTAACAAGGAGCCTTAAACTGATTTCCACATGTGACGTAAAAACACTAAACCCCTGATACTAAAACTAGTTGTCACGATCAAAAGGGGACTTAATAGAACATAACCTTCTGGTCCTTGTCAGCCAGAATGCTGGGCCTAGCAGATGCTTTCATCACCTAATTTACCACGTGGGAGAGATTCTTTTAGTAATCTGCTTCCCTATCCAATCTTAGAATCACATTGGAAACAAAAAGAGAAAGTACTTTCAGTAAAGTCACTGGCTACTGTTATAAGGTAATTTGACTATTAAGGCAAAGAGCAAGGTATTGATCCAAATACTAATTTTAAACAACTCACTTGTTGATGGTTCTTCCAAAGGTGACCTGAACAAGGGCAATTAACGTTCTTCTCACCCATTTAAACACTAAAATATAAATCAGAGGAAAACTTTTTAATCACAAGGTATCATAATTATGACATTTTTATAGCTGCACAAAGCTTAAATCTCATTACTTAACCCAATCTGAGTCCTGACATTGTTGAGGCTATAGTATCTGTGGAATTTACACTGAGGTTAGCAAACTTCCTCTCAGGAAAGCTGTTCTCCCCAAGCTTTCAGTTTTTAGCTAAGCAACTAATTAGGTGAAACCAAAGTATGCACAGCTTTCTAATGCCTCAACAACAGCTGTGCTAGCAAGTGGAAATGACACTTCGCTTCACATGCCCCTGGGCTACTGACATGTTTTCCACTCACAGACAATGTAGTTCCCATTTTAGATTTCTGTCTGGCTTAATGAACCCAATTTTTGAACACACTGTTCTGAATGAGAAACATCTGTAGTCAAACGCTGAAAAATATTTTGAAATATAAATGAACTGCTGCATCTAACTGCTCCCATTTGAATGCTAGTTTGTAGATCATCCTGTGCTTTTATACTGTCATGTGTTCAGAGGAGGAAAGAAACTGCAGAGAGCTGGGATCCTGAATGAGATGTGAATTCAGAGACCTTCTGTGTCACCGCTGAGAACTGCAGGTGTAGACTACCTTCTCTGAAGAACCTCTGTTTCCTTGTCTAGATAAGGACAGTATCATCAAGTCCTTTCCTTTGCTCTGTGGGTCCTTTTGTGTGTGAAAAGCTTTGTGACAAGTTCTAGAGATCCAAACTTTCATTAACACAAAGACACATTTTTACACTAGAGAATATGAACTTTTAAACCAAGAGAGGCAAAAAACTATAGTGAGGACATTTTAGGTCAGAAATTGGAAGCTAAACCAATTTATCGTGTACATCTCCACCTCCATCCATTGAAATGTTTGGTTACATGAAGAAATAAAGTCCAACGGGGCTGTAATGGAGCTGAGAGTTCAAGCCTCCTGCACCCCAATAAAAAAATCTTAAAGGAGCAAATTCACAATTGTCTGTATAGGGAAGCTGTACAAATAAAAGTCAGTACACAACAGAGACTTGGTACTAGATTTTAAAACATTCTAAAGTCACATTTAACTTTTAAATAGATTAAAATATCCAGATAGAGTAGCATTAATCCTTCTGGTGAAGTCAAGTCTCAGAAGTCAGAACCATATCTCAAAAATGCCTTTAACTTTTTGACAGATTTTCTTGGGACACTGCTAAGCATATTCACTTTGAGCTGGGCTGAGCAGGTCTGTCAGTGATGATAACGTCACTCTAGAGAGGTAGCCCCCTACCCAGAGGATCTGCGGACCGACGCAACTCCAGGAAGGATGCCTAACAGCCAAGTGCTTATTAAAAAGGGGGGGGAGGGGAGCTGTATTACTGGTCCCTTTTTTGTATACTGAATTACAGCCAAAACCGAAATGGATTTTGCTACAAATTCTCCCCCATCACGACAGCCCCTTACTCTTATCACTTTTTCCTACCCTTCCCCAGCCCCGAGCCCTGCAAAGTAGCCCCATCTCTTCCTAAAGGCTCATTTGATCAAAGCTACAGAGGCAGCAGCAGCTGTACTGAGATCTTAATGATGGCAAATGCACCACCTCTCATAATACACGAGGTTCTATTTATTCCTCTCTGAAATGTCACCAGCAAAACCAGACACGCTCCAAGCAGGAACATGGTAGAGGACATACATGCTGTAGAGATGAGATTAGGAGCCCTGCTCTGTCCCCAGCTGTCCCTGCCTC